GTACTAAGCAACTGCTGTTGGTCATTTAAGCGAGAACTCTAAATCAACAATAGACATCCATTTTTTATTCTTTAATTACGCAATAATTATAAATTTAAATTAAATAAAAAAAATATCATTTTATTCTTTAAAATCTTTTTATCTTTTTCAATTTTTAAGCTAATTTTTCGAAAGCGCACGAACCTTAATATTTAATATGCTAGCCTTTGGCCGCGATACAAGCTTTAATTCTATCCGGCATACTTTGATACAAATTATCGAATAACGATTGATTTAATGTATTTTATACAGCTTATAAACAACTTTCTATTTTTTGCTTTGCGTATTCCGAATTCGATTTATCGATCGCAACGTCGAAGAACATTTAATAAAGCTTTTTTTTAAGATGCTATTAAACGTGCTCGATCGGATTAAAGTCGAGAGAAAAAAGTAGCTAATTAATTAATAAAGTAATCTTGTTTTTGCCGAATTAAAGCTGAACTTTCTTTATAATATAAATTGATGCATTATTTTACTAAAATTAATATTTGCGCAGCAATTTTCGAAAGATTAGTTTGACTTCGACTTCGAAGATTTTAAAGTAAAATTATATCGAATACTCGTGTTTTTTCGATTTGAAATCTCGATTTATAATATAAAGATTCGATCTTCCGCGATCTTAAAAAGCTTTTTAAACTATCACTTTCATATTCTTTTTCGTATCGTATGTTTAGATTATCCGACGATCTTATTTTTTTTTAAGCGTGCGAAAAACTTATTCGGTGTTTTTTCTTCGACTTCGCTCGACAAAACACTTATCCGATTAAACGATTTCTTTTTAATCTTCGACCGTTTACTTTCGATAATTTAAATACTATTGTAATCGAGCAGCCGCGTGTTTTTCCGTAAGTTCGAAGCGCTTTTTACACTTTTAATTAAAGATTCTATAATTTCTTAAAATCTTCTTAACAGTAATCTCTTTACAATCGAGATTATACGCTCGAATAACATCTTTATATAAATCCTTAAGATTTAAACGAACGTATCGTAATAAAATTCGTTTATCGGATGCTAAATATAATTTCCGCCGAGCAGCTTTCGATATAGATATACTTTTATTGCGTAATAAAGCTTGCTTTTAAGTATAATTAATCGTATTACAAAGTATTTCGAAAGCTTTTATAATAACGGTCGGATTTGCATTAAAAGCAAAGCCGCTTATAATTAATCTTCGTTAATAAAAAGAAAGATGATGCCGAATAAGCCGATTACTAGACGTCGTAGCAAAAAGAGTACGTTAAAGTAGCATTTTTACAATAGTTGTATAAGATAAAAAAACGCGTGTCGCGAAAAATCGCGGTTTTATGATTTTCGGCTAACAGCAGTTGCGGGGCACTGTAGTAATAGTTTAAGAAGAAATCAATTACTCGTTTATATAAGAGCTTGCACGTGACTTAACTACGTGCTTAGCAAGGCCAGAGCATGCAGCGCACCCACGTGACAAAGGTGCCTAGCATCAGTATTATATATATGGACAAAACAAATACAGAGCCCTAACTCCACCACAGTAATAGTAATCTGGTCTTCGTATCTCTCTCCTTAACTGCGAATCAAAAAGAAGTGTAAAACGGTCTTTGCGTAGGGCACCACTTCAAAGTAAGGAGGGAGAGCTGGTTATGTAAAAAGGATAATATTTCTAAGTTCCCCTTGGTAGGAGAAATCTACTACGTAGTACGTCGCAGGCGTAAGTATTACCCCTCGAGGGTAGGGAAAACAGGGGGTTTAAAGTGGAAACCGAACTTTTAAGGCACCCTCGAGGGGTAATACTTAGGCCTGTACCGTGGTATGTATTCCCTTAGCGTGCACGTGCCCCTAAGAGGCCTAGCAGCCTCAGGCCATCACAAAAGTCAACTACAACCATCAGAACTGCTTCCTCCTGTGATCTAGTATTATCAACAGATAAGTACTGGCAATAATTACTCTTATATCAAACCATACTTGTGATATATTAATCAAAACTTCTGGGGCCTTCTTGTATATAACTCCTAATCTTAGCACGTCGCCGTACCCCATGGGGGGTCCCAGGGCGGCAGGCTTCGCCTGCTACCCGCCCGACGTAGTAAATAAATACAACAACTACTAACAAAAACTGTAATAACACGCCAGGTGTCCTAAGCGATATTCCTACGAGCGCCAAGCTCCTGGACTAAGGCTTTCTTTTCCTTCTCATATTCTCTCACTTCTCCTTTTCCTTCTTAAAGCTTTCTCAAGTCCGCTATCCACTGAGGTTGATTACAATCAACCTTTTGATTACAATCAACCTTGTATACGGAGGTACAGCGGTTGAGTATCGTAACTTTCCCACGGCTACTATTTCTAATCCACTTAAGCAGTAACGTGATCGCTAGTCACGGAATTTTAAACAACCTGATTTTAACAGAACCCAATTAGATTTAGAAAAGTGGCTGTGGATCGACGAGTATTACTCTCCCCCCCCCATGAATAAATGTCGAAAGTATAATTTCGCAAGAGGATCTTACCAAGGCTTAAACCAATCAACTTACTACGTATAAGGATTCAGCTTTGGAAAGTATCTCTGAGCCAGTATTTAGTCTATACAGTTGAGTTGACAGGGCTTTGAGCCATTAAGAAACTACCGCTCTATGATTTATGGGCCTAAACTGGGTCCGACATTTATTCATAGGGGGGGAGAGTACGATACTTAACCGCTGTACCACTGTATAGCTCACAGCTCCCTTCAGCCTCTACTTTCGATAGTTGTTAATTCTAAGTCATTATCTTGAGATCTTCTTAAAATCTATGCGATCCCCCGCTCTCCCGTAAGTTCATCAAGTAATCGCTCAAGCTCGTTACAAAAACGTGCTCTATTAAGTACGGAGTATATTCGGAGCATAACAGACTATATGCTGATAGCTTTTTCTTTATCAAAATTAAAACTTCAGTTCCTTTTAAAACCTTTATAACTTTGATAGCTAATAGAGCTGAGCGAAAGTAGCGTTCAAGTTAATAAAGTTCATTAAGTCAATCAATTCAGTCAAGTCGGGAAAGGCTTTCACGGAAAGTTAATCTCACGCTATAGAAGTTTAGCAGCACATACTGTAGTAGGACCCGATAATAAAAAAGTATCAATGCGATTGTTAATCAAGAGAAAAAATTTAAAAGAAAAGAAAGAGCATATTGATAGCTTCCGCAGACAGCGTTGATTGAATACCTTGAGCTCCAAGCTCTCGCTAATTTTATATGCTCAAACACGTCTTCGGAGCCTGAGTAGTTCGCGAATCTCGAGTACATCGCGTATTTCGGAATATAACTTTTTGAGTTCAAACCCCTATCTCGTTTAAGCATACTAGTATTATCCCCCCCGTAAATAATATCGGACCCAGTCTAGCTTTATAAATCGTAGAGCGGTGATTTCTATTTACACTAAACTGAATAACTTGAAGCCCTGCCAACTAACTCCATTACACAAAAGGGCTACGATTCTTTACTTGTACGAGGTGCTTTTGACGAAACTTCAGCTCTTTCTTTTTTTTTTTTTCTTTTACAATAGAAAGAAAGATAAAGAATTTAAACAGCCGAAATTGAATTATCGATATGCGACGTCTTTTCGAAGAGATTTCCTTTTACCGGCGATTCCGAACCTCTTTCCTTTTTCTTTTCGAATACTACGCCGATTACGATTTATATTTAACGAGCATACCGATTGAAAATACTAAAAAGATTTGCGATAAAAAAAGAACGTATATAAAAAATAAAATAAAAAAGGCTTAATTCGATTAATCGAAAACACGGTATTGCGATTTCGAAAGAGCGTTTTGCAAATATACCGGCTTTATTTAAAAGCTACGAACGCGAACCTTTTTAGCTTTACGACGAAAGAGAACGATGTTTGTATTATACGGATCGAGGCCGCTTATAAAGCTATACGTATTCGATAATTATCGAAAGAAAACTCGACGTATAGCATTATAAATTGCTTTTAAAAAGGTTATAAGTATTTAGCTATTTAACGAAAGGTTTTCTTTAACGTGGTTTTTACTTTCGATTAAATAATACTTTGTATATAATTCCTTTACTTAGCACGTCGCCGTACTTTATAAAAGGTCCTCAAGGTTTAAGCATTGCGTTTTAAATACCCGCCCGACGTTAATAAATATAATAACAACAATAACAACAACTCCATTACACAGATTAAATACCAGCTCAAAGTTACTACGTAGTAGTACTTTTCAAGGCTGAATGAATCTTTATACTAAGTTGATCGGTTTAAGACCTGGTAAGATCCCTTGCAAAATTATACTTTCGATATGTATTCATAAGGGGAGTACTAGCTTCATTCTTGGATTTCTGCAAACAGGCCCATAATTAAGATTAATTGACACGCTTGCCCTCGCTGCAGTAGTTTGTACAGTTAGGCCCCCTTTTCCAATGAGTATTGCTGAGCTGAGCTAGCTGTATGGTTAATATAATTGAACCTCAACAAAGCCTCATTCGGAAAGATACAAAATATAATTATACTTGGCTGAAGATTTCTAATTGCTACGTAGTAGTTATACGGCTCCGAATTTTGGATAAAAGGTAATAGCAGATTGAAAGGATAAAATGAAACTTATGAAAACCGATAGGAAAAGCAGCCCAGATAAGAGTATTATACTTATAGAGCTGCAGGATTGAAGTATTTCGCCGATTAGTATTGCCTTATCGATCGCCGCCATGACGCTAACGGAAAAGTACCCCAGCATACGTACTAGTATTTGTCCGCAAGCTTTTTATATTCCTCCAATCAGAACCGAAGCTACAGTAGATCTTTTTAATAATTGGAGACCATAGTTTTTTCAGAGCTTGTCTTTCCTGCTTGATTGATATTTGCCAAGTTAATTGCGGACTTGATCAAAAGATTTCTCGAGAATTAGATACCGAAGTTGTGTAAGGGTTTTGCCTATTAAATAGCTCCTGAACCCCCCTTATTGGACCGGTACCTCCGACTGTCTCTGCAAGCTATGGCTCTTTACTCACTACTAACTGCGGCTCTTCTCGCCCTCTCCCAGCTTTCGTGCACGGCTATGGGGGCCGTCGTGAATGCGAGTGCCCCACTTGTAACCGTCACGAATGGAACATATGCTGGTAGATATGTGCCAGAATGGCAGCAGGATCACTTTCTAGGGATTCCGTACGCAACGCCTCCAGTAGGGGCACTTCGATTCGCGCGTCCGAAATCGCTGAATACTTCCTTCACTGGTATTCGAAACGCAACAGCATACGGACCCTCCTGTTACCAATATCCCAATCCAGCATTCACGTACTTTGAGCTTTCGGAAGACTGCCTTACATTAAATGGTGCGTGCCAATTCCGAGGTGACATTTTGCGATTCGCTGACTGAGTTTTAACGCAGTTGTTCGACCTGCCAAGACATCGCAGGAGGAGAAGCTGCTGCCAGTCCTCGTTTGGGTGTATGGCGGAGGTTTATACAGTGGTAGTACTGCTGATCCACAGTACAATCTTTCTGGGATAACGCACGTTGGACAGGAGCTCGGCAAACCTATGATCACGGGTAGGTTAGAGCTATTCTCAGCCCCAAATTTTGCTGATTTGTAAAAGTTTCCATGAACTACCGCTTAGGAGTCTGGGGCTTCCTCCAAACGCCTCAGCTCCTGGCGGAAGGAAACTCTAACGCAGGACTCTTGGATCAAAGAATGGCGTTCCGCTGGATCAAAGAGAACATTGCTGCTTTTGGCGGGGACCCGAACAGAATTACGCTCTGGGGAGAGTCTGCTGGAGCTCAGAGTATAGCATATCATCTGCTTTCTTATGATGGACGTAATGATGATCTTTTCCACTCAGTCATTCTGGAGTCCGGAGGACCGACCGGAGCTCAGATTCAGCCACTAGCATATTATGCGGCACATGTAGAGAACTTGACGAGGAGTACAAACTGCTGGACGTCACTTGATCGGCTAGCATGTCTGCGAGACCTATCGGCCGATGAGCTCTGGAGGAATCGAGTCACCACTATATGGAATCCCTTGATTGACGGTGAGTGATCGTTTACTTGCTCCTCCCGAGATCATGCTAATGGTCACCAGGCGACTTCCTCACAGCATACCCAAGCACATTAATGGCGGAGGGGAAGTTCATTCGCCTGCCAATGTTGAACGGTGCCAACAGCGATGAAGGTCTCAGCTTCGTCAACTCAGGCCTAGACACTGAGACAGCCATCTTCAACAATCTCCTCGCCTATCGCAACTACCAGATCGTCCCTAACACAGCCCGCAAGCTCCTGGAGCTATACCCTAACGACCCAGCCAACGAGCCACCCTACGCCCTCAAGGACAACACCACGTTTCCCGGCCTGGGACTGCAGTTCCGGAGACATGCCGCGATCACAGGCGACATTGTCATGATCTCGGGCCGTCGCAAGTTCTGCGAGGTTTACGCTGCCGCGGGACAGGATGTCTACAGCTACCGGTTTGACACACCATTATGGAACGCATTGCCCTATCACGGAGCGAGGCATTTCGACAACGTGGTATTCAGCTTCCAGAACATCTCGGGTAGACTCGGTCCTCTGCCCCAGTATCAGAAATACACAGATCTGAGTCGCAATATTGGCAAAGCATATGTCTCTTTCGTCAATGACTATGATCCGAACACTAGTAGAGGGGATAGTACGCTGCCGCCTTGGCCAAAATACGACCTGGACAAGCCGACGAATATGGTGTTGAACTCCGACCTCTCGTTTGGGGAGGATGATACTTGGAGGAAGGAAGGGATAGACTTTATAAACTCTGTTGCTAGAGAGATCCTTGCATAATGATTTTCCCCCTCCAAAAAAAAATATTTATCTCCATCTCTTGACATTCTGAAAAGGTGACCATATTTAAAATGCCGAGACAAGAAATTCTAAGACGAGCACTAAAACATACATATTGCAGGGCTGGCAGGAAACTGCAAGCTTTGAATACCTGATACTGAAGATCACCAAGAACGAAAGGCCAAGTCAAGTACGAAGTGAAGTTACAGTACTAGGTAACTACTGCTAATGCGTAAAATCACTTTTCGCACCAAAACTGAGGGTCAACACTTCGAAATAAAAAGTAACATTAGCCGGTGTTTATTAATTCTATCTTCGAGAAAGTGGTTGAAAACCAGCAAGCTAGAATCTGCGTGTTTAAGAGACCTAGATACAGAAGATAAAGTTGAAGTCGCTCCATTCTTTAAGACGTCTGCTGAAGTTGAGACGAAGCCGACTGTCCATATTTCTGCTTTAATAGACTTTATTAAATAATAAATATGAATTAAAATCATCTCACAGTTATAAGCTATATCTTGTTTCAAATAGTTTTATAATTATTGTTCAGCTTTCAAAGCTTATAGTTGTAGAAAGTTAAAGCTATCGAATGTAAAGAGTTTATGGCGCGAAACAAAAGTTTATGTATTAGCAGTTAGAGGTGACTCCAACACAGCGAGGCTCGAAACCCCCCTTTCCCCCCTTGGCCGTCGCGCCCTGTCAGATTTTCCCAATCCCAGCAGCGTTCGCGATCTTTTTCGACGCCTTCTTCGCCGAAGCAATAGTATGGCCATTGAAGTTCCCAAAAAAGGACGTATCAGAGCCAGCAATCGTCCCACTGCTGTCAATCGAATTGAGCTGGCAAGCACGCCCCAGATATGGCATGCAGGCAGTGTTGGCACTGGGTGAAGGACTCGAGAACACCTTGCCTTTATTCGAGAGGAGGGGCGTTTTGACATTCTGAAAGACATTGCCTTCGGCAGTGACCTGCCCTCCGGCCATAACGTCGTATGCGTGCCCGGATACTGCGTCCCAGTAGTTGTTGACCGCGTGGAGGAGGGTGTTGCCGCCAATTTTGGGGGCGCGGCCGCTGGTGTGGTGGATGTAGTTTCCTATCATAGTGACGAAGTCGGAGGATCCAATAAGATAGATGACCCAGTAGTGATGGTTGTCGCAAGTTGCGCTCCATGAGGTGTTACCGTCAAATCTGTACGAGGTCATTAAGTTAGCACTTGGGTTTTGGTGGGATCTTGCTCTGGAACGACGTCTTTTTGAAAGCCGGATAGGGTTTTGGGATGGAATAGGAACATATTCATACTCATTGTTTGAGATCGTGACTCTTCCCGAGGCTAGTTCACCAGCTACGAACATTTGACGGCCAATGAGCGAGACTTTACAATGATCGACCCATACCAAGTCAGCACCCGCGAGAGTGAGAGCATCTCCACCCCAGATGTATTGAGGATTAAGTTCAGTGATATGAATGTTCCTTTGATCATCAGCATAGCACTTCTCAATCTTCAGCTTGGGAATAACTTACTGGATAATGACATTCTTGGAGCCATTAGCAACCCGAAGTCCCTTTCCCCGGATAACACCTGCGGTACCAATCCCGATGAGAGACTTGTTTGAACCGATGTCAATTGCAGAGACTCCTGCTTTATCGTATGTCACGGAAATGGGGGTGACATTGGGTCCAGCATTGCCGTTAGTGCACCTATCGGGTTGTCAGCAATCGCTTTATATATAGAGACATCGGTAAAAGGTCACCATTCGACATGATTGATCGCGTCCTGCCCTGCACTTCCACAAGTGTTGGAAGTCGGACGGCATCCTGTTTCTGTAACACGGCCCTCGCTCCCAATAAAATTATACCTATAAATTCAGCACGATTCCTATGCCGGGTCTTGCGAGACTTACTCCTTATTAAGAACAATGACACGGGGTGTAGAATCAGTAAGCCTGAAAGGACACGAGGGAGTCAGTGATCACTTGTCCAGGAAAGTTTCGGGAGAAGAACGAGTTTTTGTCTCCCGATGCCTACCATTTCTTGAGCTCTGCAATGTCTGCTGGATACTGAGGGGTGGCCGACCCTCCTCCAGTAGTGCCGGCCGCAAACCCAGGCGCCTTTCCTACAACTCCGACGGCATTACTTCTAATAAAGAAGCTGAAGCAAGCGAGGATGATGGACGTATATCTCATAATGAGGACAAGTCAGAGAATGAAGATGCTGATAGAGAGATGAAGAAACCAGGTCACCTACGAGCAGACGTGTACTATATGTTCTTAATCTGAATAAGATGCTAACGGTACTTTCACGCTAGCTAATAAGCTAATTTCAATAGGAAACGAGAACGAAACGGAAGATCTTAAGAATAACAGAACCACTTAGCGAATGGAAACCAGGTTTAGCTGCTGACGCGGAGTTGATCATCCATCAATCCATCTGTCACGACTCACGAAAGCCAGACCAAGGTCTTGGAGATGAGTTTAAATTGTGTACAAGGGAAGAAGAGACTCTAAGGTACAGGAAGAGATAACTTAATGATAGGGGTTCGTGCGCACTCTCGCCTTAGCATTCTTTGGCCAAATCGATCATTCTATTCCCTTCCATACGATCCTTTTCATTCTTTTTCTCTTCCGAATGATAATAAACAATTACGCATTCTTTTTAGCATCGGTGGTCTCTACTGTAGTAGATTTTGGCTTATTAAGGAAGCGTTTTTCGGACTCTAAAGTAAAGGACCATACGTTGCTCATCGATGAAAGTGGTTCTGAAGACTTATCTTCGAGGTCGTATCTTCTTTAAAAAATGAAGTATTGAAAGCCATTTGCTTTGATTTTTTTATAATTAAAAGTATTTTTTACGGCTTATAGCTTCTCGCCATTTGCGTCTATTGCGACGAAAAAAAAGCGAGGGATCTTATTAGCTAAAATGGGGATCGGTAAGTGCTAAGCTAAAGAAGTCATTATAGAAACTATCATTAAGTTTATCGTGCTCAAAAGATAAGTCTAAGTGATAAGTATAAGAGCTTTATATTTTTTTGAATTTTGTATCGATTAAATGACTTATAATCGAATTATTTAATTAATATATCGGTTTAATATTATAAGAATTCGAAGTGAAAGAGAATTAGCGCTAGAGTAAAGTCTATTTTGAAGTATCGAAAGCTCGTTAGAGAGCGGGGGTCTAGTTTTATTCAAACTTTTTTTTTTGAGATAAAATGAACGAAAATTTTAAGAATCCGAGGAATTATTTTAATAAATCGTTTATAAAGACTAGAAAAGCTGAAGTAATCTTGCACGTCGTTAAAATTGATTAAATCTTCATGAAAAGAAATATATTCTACTTTAGCTGAGTCTATTTTAATACTTCTAGTAAGAATAAGCTAGTCGAAATATATGATTTTTGAACTCCGTCTCCGAAGTCGCACTTTTTAATATTTAGCTGTAAGTCAGATTTTTAGATTGCTCAAAGTACAGCTTTAACGAAATGACGGTGCTCTTTGAAGGTATCGGAATAAATAAAAATATTATTAATATAAGCCGTATAAAATATATCGAAAAAAGGCCGTAAAATAATCTGAGCAGAAGAAGAAATTCTTTATAGTATTACCCAAGGGCAAATCACTCGACTCATAATAAATCAGCTGATAATAAAAACTATAGTTTAATAATAGACTTATTAATTATATTACTTTAAACTTATTTATCTTAATTAAAAATAATCGATATAGTCATTATAATTTATAATGAAAAATCAATGATTTAAAATATTTTATTTAATGTGATATATATTATCGGATATATTATTTATTATTATTATTATTATTATTATTATTATTATTATTATTATTATTATTATTATTATTATTATTATTATTATTATTATTATTATTATTATTATTATTATTATTATTATTATTATTATTATTATTATTATTATTATTATTATTATTATTATTATTATTATTATTATTATTATTATTATTATTATTATTATTATTACTATTATTATTATTATTATTATTATTATTATTATTATTATTATTATTATTTTTATTATTATTATTATTATTTTTATTACTATTATTATTATTATTGTTAAAATTATGATTTTGATTATTATTAATCGTCGGTTATCTTAAATTTAATCGGAAAGAATTGACAGACTTGCTATAGCAAGTCGGCATTATTAAGGCGGGACACTTATCAAGGCGGGACAGTAACGGTATTCCAATTATTAAACAACAATTATTAATACAAATAAGAAAAGAAAATTTTTAATATGCTCAGGAAAATTTGCTTATGGACGTGAATTGAGAATATAAATATGCATTCATTTGTAGTTATTAGAATATAATATTCCCAGGCAGATATAACGACCTGAAGCGATTACCTAAAGGAATTTACGAAAGCGCAAGGTTCATATAAAAGCTTAAGAAGATCTTAAAGTAATGACTTAAAATCAATAACTATCGAGTATAAAAGTCGAAACTAGCCCCGCAACTGCTGTTAGCCGAAAATCATAAAATCGCGATTTTTCGCGATACGCGTTTTTTTATCTTATATAATTATTATAAAAATGCTACCTTAACGTATTCTTTTTACTGCGACGTTTAATAATCGGCTTATTCGGCATTATATATTTTTTTATTAACGAGGATTAACTATAAGCGGCTTTGCTTTTAATGCAAATCCGATCGTTATTATGAAAGCTTTCGAAATACTTCGTAGCACGATTAATTATTATAAGAATAAAGGGATCGGAATTAAGGACTCGATCGGGGATAAAAGTGGCCCGTGCACCCTTAGCATAGCCAACTACATGTAACTGCACCTCGCAGCTAAAATAGCTTCTTTCCTCCTTTAAACTTAACAACAACATTACGAATGCAACCACTTGCTATTCGTATCAAGTCTTACGTGTACACTTTATTATATAACCAACACTAATTAATAGTTAATTTTACACTTAACTACAAATAAGCTAGATATAGCAAAAGAAAGTAGATCATCCTTAAAAACGATTACGGCAACGGAATGTGACGACACGCCAGGTCTCCTGGACGCACTTCATATGCGCCAAGCTACTTCCTTCCTTTTTTCCTTTGTATTCTTCGTATTCTCTCATTCCCCGCTTTTGACTTATGAACCATAGTTTACGAGTCTTTAGCGCTTTTACCTTCGTGTATATAGACCTTAGCTACTTTCGACCTTTATATTCGATAGTTATTGATTTTAAATTATTACTTTAAGATCTTTTTAAGCTTTTATATAAACCTTGCGCTCTCGTAAGTTCTTTTAAGTAATCGCTTAAAGTCGTTATATTGTAGAAGCACCCAAAAAGATGTGCCGTATAAAAGCCTGGCTCTGAAGCTAGACCTTATGGTCTTACAAAGGAAGTGCTAAAAAAGATAAATAGAAAGCTCGTTGATTATTCTAGCTAAAAGATGTGTGCCCTTTTATAAAAGATAGGTCCGTCTAATATAGCCTTAATAGCTATAGCAGGTATTCTATCAAGCAAAGTGTTTATATCCGTCCTTTTATAAAATAAGTAAGCGCCTCCGCTTATCATTAAGCAAAAAGAGAAAAAAAAAAAAGAGGTGTAAAAGAAAGAAAAATCTAATATATAAAAAAGAAAAAGGGGTATCTTGTTTTCAAACTCTAAATATTTAAATTACGCTTTAGCAGCTTTTTTATAATCTCTTTCCGTGCTTACGTCTTTAACTCTTTCGTTCTTTTTAAGCTAAAAAAGTATTTTTCTCTTAATAAAGCTAGCATTAAACGATAACGTGCTAGCAATAGCATTCTTAAAAGTGAAAAAGCGCGTATCGTTCTTGCGCTTATTGCTAATAGCATCGTTAATAAGTGTGAACTTAGCCGACGAAAAGTTAGCGAAGCTAAAATAAAGTTTAAAGCTATTAGTTAAATCGTCTTCGTCTTCGAGCAAGTCATTTAAGGCTTTTATAGCTTTATCGAATGCGCGGTTTAAAGATTCCGGCTAAGAAGACGATACTTTAAAATCGTCGATTTAGCTCGTGAACCGTGGTTCACGAATAGATTTCGCACTTTTTAAATTGATTTTTACACTTGAATCGGAATCGTTAAAAAACAACTTAATCGATCGCATGTTCTTTTTAAAATCTTTTAATTTATCGGCGTTTATAAAGTCGTTAGCTCGGCGGCTTTTGCTTTTAGAAAAGGACTTAATTCCGTAAGTCTTAGCTTTAACATTTAAAACAATAGTAAATCTTTTTTTAAATGCTGAAAACAACTTTTTTTTATACTTAATAAAGTGTTTTTAAAATTAAATCCGAAACATAGCAAAGATAGCGGTCAATTCTTTTATTATTCGAAGTTCGTTTTAATTTATTCTTTCGATTAAAGCTTTCGATACGTAATTAACGTAGTTCAATTAGATTATAACGGCGAAAAGCTAACTTAATTTATTAATAACTATTTATCGAAAAGTTAGCGGCATGCGTCTTAAGACGATCGTATAAGCGTGCTTTGCAAAGTTAACTTTATTTTCTAAAGTATTATCGTTTAGCAAAGCGATATAATTATTAAAGAAGACCGCTTATTCGCAAAAAGAATTCTAAAAAGCGTTTATATTTAAAAAAACACTTTATTTCGTAATGACGGATATAAAAGTAGCGAGATCGTTAATTATAGCGAAAGGTTAGCGTAGCGCAATATTCTTAAGAGCATTTAAAGTCTTCGACTTAAGTCTAAAAGCTTTTTATTTAATAGTCTTTTTAAAAGTTATGTCGTAAGTATAGCTTTTAAGCTAAATAATTAAGCTTTCGATTTAGCTTTTTACGCCGTAAAGTATTAAGTAGTAGTTTAAAACTTTATCTTTTATTCGTAAACTACGGTTTACGAGTCGTTTAGTATTAGCGTCGTGCTTGGTCGTAATTACTCGAGCATTATTATTGCATTTAAAAAGCTAAAAAAGTTCCGAGTAAGCAATAAGCTTATAGTTTCCGTCTCGGCGATTAAGTAAAGCGGCAAAGTATAGCTTATAATAGCTTCGAAGGACTTGCTAAGTTAAAAAGTGTATTATATTAAAAAGTGCATTAGTCGAGGCTCTTTTTAAATCACTAATTCGAAAGTAATGCAAGTACATTTAAATCTTTTTATTTATAATAATAAAAAAGGTCTAATTGCCGTGCTTATCGTTTAAAAAAGAAGCTTTT